TCAAGACTTTCTAGACTGGAAGGATGTGTATTCACAAATGGGATTTTATATAACAAAAGATGAAAATGGAGATCCTGTCAAATTCATTGACATCAAAGTTGTTAAACTAGAAAGGGATCATCCACGTGATATTTTTTTTAAAACATCCTACAAAGAAAATGATTTTAAGAGAGCACAAGTAATAAAAAAGAAAAGAAGTATTGATATAGAGGTGAAAATGCATACTATCAACGTCCAGGATTATGTAAGAAGAAGACAGACGGTTTACTAGGCTTATTAAATTTTTATTTATTTAACCATTCATTTTTGTATATAAAAAAGCCATACCAAGTTTTTATGCTCCTTTTTATAATTCTTTATAATTTTGTTTGTATCTGTTTTACTAAAAAATAAGTTTTGGTTTTGATAGTTTTTTATAAGAAGTTCTTGATTTTAAGTTGTTTATTTTTCTTTAGTTTTCATTTCTTTTTGTAGAAGTTTCTGGTTACTTCATAATAATAATAATGAGAATTTATTACGTATCCATAAATGGTTAGTTAGGATTAATAACAAATTGTACTTATATACTGTTAGTATGTTAGTGCTTATTTAACAAAAGAAGAAAAAGGAAAATAAATAGAAAAGAAAACAGAAAACAAAGAGTTATTAAAAGTAATAAACTTTAAATTAAAAGTAATATCTTATGATTAATAATTTATGCTATGTGATTGAAATATTATGAGACTGATAATGTCATAACAAATTACTTAATTGATATTATGTTTAAACGTTGATTTTTATGTTTAATTATATTATTAAGTTTATAGTTTTTAAGTAAAAGACTGATATTCTATTTTATGCATTTTCATAAGAGCAAATAAATAAAACCTTTATTTTCTAGTGTCATATTTTATTTTGATTTCAAGATTAACAAAGTATTTACTGTCAATAATGACACAAGATGGATAGTTTAAAAATTATAGGTAATTTTTTTCTAGAAAAATGTCACAATTAGTACCTAGTAACACTTAACACAAAAAATATAATAAAATTAAATATGTTTTACTCAGAAATAACACTTTTCCAAAATGCAAATATGTGCCGAATAAAATAAATTTAGAATTACAGTCTTGTAATGAATATATATTTTTAAATTTAAATCACAAAGTTTAAAACCTTGATTCCCAAAAGTTATTCATTTTTAGTTGTGACGTCCTTCTTGTGAATGAGCGATATTATAAAAGAATCACCAAAAACAAAAAAAAAAACAGTAGAGAGTTTTAAATCTAACACGCCTGCCGGATCGGGTAGCATAAGGAGTTTTGTTTATCCCTTAAACGCATAGTGTCCCAAAATTGAATCACCATATTAAACCACCAATATCCGTCCATAATATTTGTGTTTGATACATTAGGCTGTATGAAATGTTTCTTTTGCTCCTTCTCTAACCATAGAATAACTCAACTAGTGACATTTTGTGTTGTTATCTGTGGCTGATTGACATTTCACTTTTTGGCGCGCGTTTCTCAAATAGGTTTGAGTTGAGTGCACTTTGGCGACATATATCACGAAGTTATTTGCTGATTTTGGAGAAAAAAAAATTGTTTTCTAAAGGTAATGACTATTATTTATACAATAACTTATCCTTTTTTCAATTTACCATAATTGTTATATGAACAGGAAGCTTTTTTGTTTTGATGCAAAAATGGGACAGCATGCACTATTGGTAAAAATTACTACTGCTATTTGAAGCTATACATTTTGTGATTTTATTTATTTTGCTTTGGTGAGGTATGCATGTGGTTGGTTATTTTGTTTTAGAAATGGCAGAAAATAATAGGAGAGATGGTGACATTGAGTTTTGGTTGCGCCAGCTAGAAGATGGCGCCATTTCTGAAGACGATTTCGAATCGGACGGTGACGAACTTGATTTTTATCCTACCCAACAAGATTTACTAGATGTTTTAGAAAATGATGATGACGACGGTGAGGCTAGGTCTAATGATAATAACGAAGAAATTATACCCGATCCTCCTATTGTAATAGCGGATGCTGTTCCTTCAAATAATAATGATGCACCGGTACATTCTTTAGACATTCAGAGGTTGATATGGAAAAACCAACCTCTGCCATTCAACGAAAATGCCATAAAATTTAATGGAACTGAAGAACACCCTGAAAGTTTGATGAACCTTCAGACACCTTTCCAATTTTTTTCGTACTTTTTTACTGAAGAATTTCTTTCACAAATTGTTACTGAAACAAATAATTATGCTGTACAAAATAAACCTGATAGACCTGACGTCATAACATTAGGAGAACTGCGAAAATATCTGGGAATCTTGATTTATATGAGTGTCTACCACTATCCAAGTGTACGTGGTTATTGGGCTAACAAGCACGGGTTTGAGGCAATTATAAAAGCGATGCCTGTCAATAAATTTGAAAAAATAAGAAGAGTACTTCACTTCAACGATAACAATAAACACCTACCAATAGATCATCCCCAGCATGACCGACTTCACAAGCTACGCCCTGTAATTGAACATCTCAATACCAAGTTCTCCACCATTCCAATCAGTCAGCGCTTATCCATCGATGAGCAAATGTGTGCCACCAAGATGGGCCATTTTTTAAAACAATACTTGCCTAATAAACCCCATAAATGGGGTTAAATAAAATTATTTGTATTGTGTTCTCTGACAGGTTTTGCTTATCGCTTTATAATTTACGCTGGCAAAGAAAAAGATGATCGTTTGCCTAACGAGTCTGATATAGGGGTTGTATCACAAACAGTGATAAAACTTGCTAGAATAATTCCCAGACATGCTAATCACATTATATACCATGATAATTTCTATACCACATTGCCCTTGATGTATTATTTTGCTAAAGAAGGAATACAATGTGTAGGAACTGTTCAAAGAAACCGCCTAGGTAAGAAATGTAAATTACCCTCAAAGCAGGATGTAATAAAAAAAACAAGTGCCAAGAGGGTCGTATGTGGAATATATTACACATATTGATGGGGTCGACATGTCTTCAGTGAGCTGGAAAGATAACAAACAAGTAGTTCTGCTCTCGACCTACGTAGGAGCTGAACCAATACAGTCCATCGAACGGTATGACAAAACAGAAAAGAAAAAAATAATTATAGACTGCCCAAAAATAGTCAAAGAATACAACGCCCATATGGGGGGCGTTGATCTCATGGATTCATTTTTGGGCAGATATAGAATAAAAGTCAAGACCAGGAAATGGTATATGAGGATTTTTTACCACCTTTTAGATTTAACTATTATAAACTCTTGGGTTCTATACAAAACTGTAGAGACAAGAAAAGGAGCAGATCCAAAGAAGCTGAAAAATCTGTCAGAATTCAGGTCAGAGCTGGCTGATGTCTTATGTACCTATGGTACTACGACCCAGCCAACAAGAGGACGTCCTAGCAACAGCAGCATCACTGAAACCATAAAGCCAAAAAGAAAGAAAGGGTGCCAGGTTCTTCCACCGTCTGACGTTCGGTTAGACAATCTTGGTCATAGCCAAATTAAAACCGACCAACGCATGAGGTGCAAGAGACCTGGCTGTAAGCTACAGAGCTTTGTAAAATGCACAAAGTGCAATGTATTCCTTTGTGCAAAGAAAGGAAACGATTGTTTCAACTTATTCCACAGTTAATTAATAAAAGCATTTTTTAAGACTATTTTGCATAATGTCCCAAAAATGCATCAACTTGATTTTTTTATTAAAAACCTATAAAATTTTAATTGTTTTTTTTTTATTTTTTTTTCCCCTTTTTCACAGCTTCTAAAGAATTGAAACCATTTTTTTCAGTACAATTTATTAATTCATGCATTTAAGGGTTATGTTTTATTCAACAGGCAAGGTCTCGGCCTTTGCAACAAAAACAGTTTAATGCTTTGAAAAGTACATTCGACCATATTGGCAAGTGATAACAGTAAATGGTCAGGTGTCAGTAGGTTATATTTGGACGATAAGAATGGCATTGTTTTTAAGAGAACTTTATTTGAAAATGAAGAAATTTTCTCTACTGAATTTTCAAGATGTCAGGTCCTAATAGGACCATCTAATTCAAAGCTAGACAACTGCAATTACGAACAGAAATTTACGTTAGGAAATTTAAATGTATATGTCGATGGATCACGTTCTAAAGTGAAAAGAGCACATATAGTCGACATTCTTAGAAAAGCCATCTGCTCAGGAAACTATAGAATAGTATAGCAGATCGTATCGAAGGAAAACGTATAACCCGTCCGGTAATAATAGACGTAAAACAAATAATATAATAATGGGTCTGAGTCTATAATTGAGAAAGTTGACGAATTCTCGCCCATAAATCTGTCCGGTTAATAGACAGACATTCCCACCACACACCGTTGAATTATTTCCACCAAGCGTCATTGTATTACACGCTACCAATACCGAAACCGAAACCGCACCTTAAATGGCAGGGTCGCCATGTAAGGACGGGACTCGCACTAATCAATAAGAGATGTTGCTAGTACTGAGATAGCTTTATTAATCCCCGATTACAACATTACACATGTCTTAAATACTAAGATTACTACGTCGCATACCTTAAGCACCCTGTATAAACTTGCAGATTATTGTGAACAAGGTAGACTTGGAAATCGCTGGCTGCTCGGTGAAACAAGAAATACTATAGAGAGGTATATTTTTTTTAGTAAATACTAAGTGCAGTATACATGGTTTTAATACACAATTTATTAATACCTACTGTAATTGCAGATGCATTGGAGTTTGGAAAAGAAGATTCCTCATATTATCCTTGAAAATGAGGCTAAAATTAGAAAATATACAACTCGTTATTATAGCCACTGCTGTGTTACACAATATTGCCAGAACTATCAATTGCGATGAAATTTAGCCAGAAATATGGATTCCAGAAACCAACCAACTCGAGGATTAAATACAAATAGGATAGTCGAGCATTGAGAAAACCTATCTATAGAATATTTAAGTTACGTAAGATTAAAATGGAGTTTTATGAGTTATTGATACTCAAAAGCACAAATACAGATTTGAAAGATGTTTCTGAAACTAAAGAGGAAGAAGAAGAGTCTCTAAAACATGGCAGACAGTTTGAAGTAAAGCCTTCGCCTCCCATGGCTAAACGGCTTCATGCAGTTAGTCATTTGCCTGACAGGCAATCAACACAACAAATTGCATCAATTGTAACAATTTCCCTGTCCCCATACAACTCATTTTGATAATCCAACGGTTTTTTTTAAATTGTTAAGCTAATTAACATTATTACTCGTATATACCATATAAAATAATTTTCGTAAATTATTGTTAAAAAATTTAAAAAAAATCGGTTTTTTTTTTTGAGTCACACGTAGGGCGATACATTTTCTCTACCACGTTCAATGAGTCATATGTGAACACACACGTACAAATACATTTTTGAGGATCAATAACAAGTCATCATCCGTCAACTGTCATAACTCCAATTTGATTAGAAAGTTAAATGTTTATTTGAAGTTATAATTGATATTTTATTGGAAAAAAATCTATTTGTGGTTATAATTGTTATTATTCGAGGAAATGGCTAATAGAAGATATAAATTATGGCGGTATTTGGAAAATTCAGATGTAGAACCATTTAAAGGTGGAAGTGACGAAGAATATCAGCCCAACGATGAAGATGAAGAAAGCGAGGATACAGAGATAAACGCAGATTTTATAGCAAGTAGTGCAGGCAGAAATACTGAGAGTCTGTCACCAACACCAGCAAGTTCATCGTCATCCAATCCATCTGATGCCCAATGGAAAACAGACGTTTTGCCTTTAGAGAGGGAAATATTAATAGGCAATCACGGTGTACAAAAACAGTTACTGATGATCAGCGAATTAATTTAAACAATATCTATGCTTATTTTGTACCCGATGATTTAATTGATGAAATGGTCATTCGTACCAATAATTACGCTCGGATGTTGAAAGAATTATTTACTGCACAATTAAGTCGAATGACGAGATGGAAAGACGTCAGTAGAGAGGAATTGAAAACATTTTTTGTAGTAATAATCTACATGGGTCTCAATCCTAAGCCGTCCAACGAGCACTACTGGAAATTATACGTGCTTTACTATAATCCTCTTATGCATAGTGGTCCTACCAAATTTATTCCGGCATTTCGCATCAGTGATAAACCTGGCTCAACAGTGGTACAGCTCACAGAGCCGCTTTTAGATGCAGGTCGTATTATCGTTGCAGACAACTATTATACCACTTCGCCATTGGCTGAGTATCTAAAAGGTCGCAATACTCATTTGTGCGGTAAAATAAAAGAAATTTGCCAGAAGAAGTGGTAAAAGCGAAGCAAAGGAGGGGAGAACTAATAGCTAGACAAAGGACAACCTCTATACTGTACTAAAATGGCATGATAAACGCGACGTCCTTATGATCTCAACTTGTCATGGAGACGGTATGTCTAACGTGACTACCACACGAGGAGATGTCATGAAACCAGATGCAATCATCGATTATAATGTCTTGCTTCGTTTCATTCTCCGTTACGTAAAAGTTTTACATGGTACAAAAGATAGCAGTAGATTTACTATTTCAAGTCGCTATTATCAATACCAGATGGCCCGAAGTTGACAATTTTACAAGTCCAAGAACATCTAGTCCGACATTTCCTTGGACCTGCAGCATTAATCACAGAAAGTAATCTTCCTCGAAGATCTTCAATCTCCTGTTGATCTCCAAGATCTTCAATTGCTTCTTCAAGCAATTCTAGACATTCTCAGTAAGAAATTCCACGAAATGCCAACAATAAACTCGTACGAAAAAGATGCACTGGGTGCTATGTCAAATTGAAAAATGAAGGATTATTGGCTAGAAAACCGAAGCAATTACAGACTGAGTGCCAAAGGTGTGAGAAAGCTTTCTGTTAAGAACGTTATAATGAGAAGCATACTTAATTTTATAATCTTTTCTTTAAATAAAATACATACTTGCCTTCAGTATTTGAGTTTTATTTACAGGAAGTTTCTTGTAGTGAATAAATGACAACTATGAAAAAATCGAGAGGTTTTATTTTATTATTATAGACATTAGGTTTTTTACTATCCGTCCACGTATGATTTAAAAAATATAACGTTCATACTGAAATGTGCCTCAAATTGTTTAGAGAAATTAGTCACCTGTGACTCATGAACTTATTTTAATACGTTCCTGTGAGTCATGTCATTGGACAGGGAAGTTGGTAATATGCATTTGTGTTTGACACAAAATAAAAAATTCATTTGTGAACTTTTACAGTTCTTAATAAGGTTTGTTTGTTAGTGTCCTCCATCTATCTCATTGTGATTGTGTTAACACAAATATATTAATATTGTTTTAATTAATTTTTGAAACCGATAAGGTTCTATTATTAATATATAGAATATTGAATCAGATTTGATTGAATTTTCATGTAGAATTAAAATTTATGTATTGATTAAATGCAACTACAGTAATTTTGTTCCTACTTGCAAAGAATGATCTTGATTTGCAATAATATTCCTTCTATTTGCAAAGAAAGATCTCAATTAGATACAGATATTAAGTTGTTTTAAGTTTGTTAAAATAAATTATTTAGATAAAGTTTCTCATGAAAAACATTAAAAAACAGATTGTGTTGATAAAAATAAATAAATAAGTTTATGTTTGGTACTTAATTTGTGACATTACATTAAATTGTATGTAATTTATTATTTTATTTTTTTATTTATACAACTAACCTACTATTGCCTTAATGACCTAAAGTCCTTTATAAAAGACAAAAAATACCTAAACACAAATATATTCAATATCTTAAGTCAAATAATGTTAAAAAACATGTTTAGGTGATAACTCGGTAAAACCTTTGTTTATGTTTTATTCAACAGGCAAGGTCTCGGCCTTTGCAACAAAAACAGTTTAATGCTATGAAAAGTACATTCGACCATATTGGCAAGTGATAACAGACAATGGTCAGGTGTCAGTAGGTTATAGCAAATATACAAAACGTATGCCATGGGCAGAAAAAGTTGCAAATGGTGGAAAATAATATTTTTCTTTTTTATTGATGTTGCAATAACCAATTCACATTATATTACAACAAATATTCGAGTACACAATGCTAAGTCAAAAATAATACAGAATTTTTGCAAACTTTTGCAAAAATTTTAAGAACACCGATATAAAGTTTGTATTATTATTGGAATTGGTATTGGTATTGGTTGTGGGCTTCGGTTTCCGCATTTAGACTCAAGAGTGGTTTTTTATGCGTCGAGGATTGGTTAACTAGGTGAGCCAACCAAGCTTCTTCCAGAAGCGCAGAAGCCTCCTGGGGCGTTCACAGGCTTCTAGGAGCGATTCATTTATGGAAATAAATTATTATTATTAGAATTGCTTTTTCAAGTGAGTTGGTGGATAATCAAACCTTTAGAAAAAGATCATTCATATCAATACCGAAATATATTTTCAAAAAGAAATAAGTTGCAGAAAGTAATAAAAGGCAGAAAAACCTTTTTGAGGTGCCAGAAGAAATCAGATTTCAAAGAGGAGGGCACTGGCCGAAAGAATTAGACTCTTATAAAATGTGTCGCTACTGCAGCACCAAAATGAAAAATAAGAGGTCTAAAATAGAATGCGATTGTTGTAAAATGGCACTATGTATTCATCCATATTTCAAATTATATCACCAACAACAGAAACAAAACCAGAGCCAAGAAAAAGAATATTGCCGCCATGTTTATTTTCTTATAATTCAATCCTCATTTTGTTTTTCTTGAATAACAGTTATTAAACTATGATGAAGCCTAAAAGTATTTTTATTGAATTGTCAAAGAAAACTGCTTTTACCAGTAAAAGGGTTACAAAGTGATTTGCATTTTGAAACATGAAGAAGTAATTAAAAATATTTGTAGTTTATAGATAAAGAAACTAAATTATGAAGTAGAATAACAATATTCAAATTTTAATAAACCTTTCAAAGTAAGCATCAAGTATCGTGCGCCTCTGAGTATCTATGGTCTTCTTCAATGCTTTTCCCAAGAGGGTTATATAGAACTCTAGGGTTAAAATCATGCATCGGTTTTGACGAAAAAGTTAAATATTTAATGTTGTGAAAAAATATATATATATGTTTAACAAATAGCTTGTCACACTTTACACATGCCAAGTACCAACCGTAATTACAATCAAACATTATTATGACTTATCCACTTCTACAAGCACTTCATAAGTGATTTAGATTTCATTTTCCGTAAAAAGGACGCTGTTTACTGGATTGCATAGTTTTATACATATAACAATATTAAACATATTTGCTTAGTGATGATAAAGTGATTCGATAATTTATATCAGTATTGTTTTACAATGAAATTTTAATTTGTAATGAAAAAGTCTGAACAATTACCAGGTGTCATGAGCATATATGATGTTTTCTTGCTCTTCATTTGTTAAAATGAAGTATATAAGTACGTATGAAATCTTTAGCAAACACAGATTTACTACCTAATTAATAAAAAAACAGAACTAACGCTTATTACTGCCACTGGACTAGACGCCATTTCTGATCAACCAAAAATTTGCGGTCCGCGATTCGCTTACCCGAGCAGCAGTGTGACCACTTATTTAGTGAAAATTCTACCTACAGATATTTTGTTTCTACTAAAAAATTAAAGTTTGCTTCTAAGAATCCTAGAACATAGACGGTATAGGTTGCGTAACTGTTAAAAGCGTCACAAATGGTGAAGATAATAAAATCTTTTTGCTCAAAATAAAATATTGCTCATAATACAATATGTATTAACTATTAGATGTTAAAATCTGAAATAAATCTTAATTTTGCTATCTTGACTTATAGATTCAGTGGAGAAATATAAGTGTGACCCCAGTATTATGTTATTATCGTAACTTAAAAATGTTTGATTCCTTAAGATACTGTATTTTCTTTCCAAGGATCTTATCATAAAATATTCTACTATCTTCGCCGTTTGTGATAGTGCATACTTAAGTTAGGGCTATAGATGTAACCGTTAAAGGTTTTTTTTTTGTTTAAAACGGTTGGTGTTGATGACTATGTTTTTCTTAATTATAACTACATTTTCTTTATTTTACCGAGGTAGGGATATGACGGAGTACTGTGTAAAGATTTTTTATGTGTGATATACTTTGATATACTAAGCGATTTTTGTTCTAGTTTCTCCGTCCGACCAAGCGTAGGTATTACCTACTTCAGTTTAAATAACCATTTCTTTTGTTTTCAAAAGAAATAAATAATAAATTCGATTCGGTTTAAAACCAAACTCATACTCTCGCACTCTCACTGACAACGGTAAGTTGTAGGTAATGTAGGTAAGTACTTTCTATTGATTTTCTTTAAACTAATTAAAACGAAACATGACGTCAGGTGACCAAAAATTGCCCACAATGAAGTGTAAAACACAGTTATTTTTTTTCGTAGGCGAGTTTTCAACCGTTTATAACGATTTAGTTGGGGTCTGAAACGGCAACATTTTGTTTAAAACGTTTTAAATCGGTTGTTTTACCCAGTTGATATCTATCACAAAAAATATGTAGATATATTACGTATACATAGATAAATTTTGTACGTGCTACATAATAGTTAAATTCTAAAATATAAAATTCTCATGTCGCGGTGTTTGTTACCAAACTCCTTCGAAACGGCTGAATTTTGTGTGCATATCGGGTAGGTCTGAGAATCGGCCAACATTTATTTTTCATACCCCTAAATGATAAGGGTGACCCATCCACCACCAACAGCCTATAACAGTCCACTGCTGGACATAGGCCTTAGAAAGGAGGTTTTGACCTACTATACCACGCTGGCAAAACGGGTTGGTATAGGGTTTGTGTCAAGTGCGCGCCTCTGGCGCCCCCAGAGGATATTGGCGGTCAGAGCCATACGCGGATACCGCACGGTGTCCACCGAGGCGGCTTGCGCCTTGGCCGGAACACCCCCGTGGGATTTGGAGGCGGAAGTGCTCGCAGAAATTTATCGGCGAGTGGCTGACTTCCGGGCGGAGAGCGGATTTCGCCCTCCGCCCGAAGACGTGCGCGAGTGGCGCGGAGCCGTTTGCCGAGCCGCCATGGTCAGATGGTCGTTCCGGCTGGAGACTCCACGCGCTGGCTTCGCCGCCGTGGAGGCTCTCCAGCCGGTCGATAACTACCTGGACCCCTCCTAAACTGGAAGCGCAAAGAGGGCACGCCATGTGGTTTTAGTCGGTTCGAGTCCGACACACCGCCCCGCCGAACGAGAGCCCCGGCGGGGTGACGGTCCGAGGGGATTTCCACACGTTAAAGAAAAAAAAAAAAAAGG